CCAACCCTCTGATCGGCCCTGCTCTGTGTGTGACATGGTAGAGCCATAACCTCTCCATCGGCCCTGCCCCGAGTGTGACAGTGGTGGCGCCCCAACCCCCTGATCGGCCCTGCTCTGTGGGTGATAGAGGGTGGCGCCCCAACCCCCCTCCACGGGCCTTGCTCTGTGTGTGACAGGGTAGAGCCATAACCTCCCCATTGGCCCTGCCCTGAGTGTGACAGGGTGCAGCGCCCCAACCCCCTGATTTGCCCTGCTCTGTGTGTGACAGGGGGCGGTGCCCCAACCCCCCAATCGGCCCTACCCTGAGCGTGACTGAGGGTGGCATCGCAACCTCCCGATCTGCCCTGCTCTGTGCATGACAGGGGGCAGTGCCCAAGCCCCTGATTGGCCCTGCTCTGTGCGTGACAGGGGGTGGCGCCGCAACCTCCCCATCGACCCTGCCTTGAGTGTGACAGGGGGCGGTGCCCCAATCCCCCAATCGGCCCTACCCTGAGCGTGACTGAGGGTGGCATCGCAACCTCCCGATCCGCCCTGCTCTGTGCATGACGGGGCGGCGCCCCAACTCCCCAATCGGCCCTGCTCTGAGCCTGACCAGGGGCTGCACTTAGGGATTGGGCCTGCCCTCTGCCACCCGGGAGCAGGCCTAAGCCAGCAGGTCGTTATCTCCCGAGGGGTCCCAGACTGCGAGAGGGCACAGGCCGGGCTGGGGGACCCCCCCTCCCCCGCCCCCCGAGTGCACAAATTTTTGTGCACCGGGCCTCTAGTCTATATATATAAAAGCCTAATGTGCAAACTGTCCCCTGGGGAATTCAACCAACTGGGAGTTCAATTGATCGCTATGATGTGCACTGACCACCAGGGAGCGGCATAGAATGAAGGAAGGCACCAGCTGGTAGCTGGCAGCAGCTAGGGACCCTACCCATGCACGAATTTCGTGCACTGGGCCTATAGTGAATACATAAATAAGTGGAACAATGTTTCTCTCTCTCTTTCGCTAAAATCAATTAAAAAAACATCTTATTTTGCTAATTATATTTAATCCTTAGAATAACCCTCTGAAGAATTAAAATTTGTCACCATTTTACAGATGGAAATACTGATGCTTAAAGAGGTTATGGGGGGGGGCACCCACGGCAGTGCTGGAATTTGAACCAGGATCTGAATAACCATGATCTCTTTTTATCCTATGACTAAAACTCATAGAAAATACCAAATCATTGCTGTACCTTATGTTTTTCGAGGAGCAGCCTGGCTATGTTGATGTGCCCACATTGAATTGCATCCATAAAGGGTGTGAGGCCACATTTGTCTCTGCAGTCTGGTTGATATTGACACCTAGAGCCCAAACCCAAAATAACAGAGCTGAGAAGAGTCACTGCTTCAAACCCAATGGACAGTTGACTCTTGACCACTTACAGTAGATGACATACCCTACAAATGATCTGTGAAAATCTGCAGCACTCTCCCTCTTTTCCTCATCTCAATATTAGAACTTAGCTCTTCAACAGTATGTCGGTTTCCCCCAGCGAATCTGTTCCTCCTCTAAACTTCTGTCATTCCATATTATGGACTACAATTTCTCCAACTTCTCATGCCAGGAGCCCTGATGTAACCCCTTAGCTCTCAAACCCAATCTACTACCTTTCAATTCTGTATTCAAAATATTTTAATTGTATCTTTCTCTTTCGCTGCTTTTACCCCTTAGGAGCAAATCAATAGACAATAGCTTCCTGTTTTTCTCACCTTGGCTTCTGCTTTGCTAATTCATTCTCACAGCTACCAGAATAATCTTTTCACCATGCAATTTGGTATGGCTGCTCCTGTTATAAACCTTTAAGTAGTATGTCCCAAAAACAAAGCACAAAATTTGGAACTTCAGCATGACCTCTAGTGGTCAAGATACTGTCCCACAAACTTGCCTCTCCAGCTTTCTCTTGCCCACATACCCACCGCTCTGTGCTTACTGTAACCTACCTTCTTTATGGTTGTTCTTTCTTTTAGGTCCTGCTTTTTTCCTGGTCCTACCTGCCCTATCATCTTAGTTTCACCTCCCACCTATCCTATCTTCTTATGTTCTATCTTCTTCATGGTCCAACCTGTCCTATCTTCTCAGTCCTACCTTGTTCACCATCCTATCTTACCTGCCCTACTGTCTCCTTGGTCCTACCTTCTTCTGTCCTATCTTCTTCTCCATCACACCTCCCCTTTTTCCGTTCCTATCCTCAACTTCCTGTCCTGTCTTCTCAGTCGCACCTCCCACCAGTCTGATCATCTTCTGTTCCTACCTTCTTCATGATCCTGCCTTTTTCCTGGTCTTTCATTTGCCCAGCTCTTGGCTGCGTTTGCACTTGCTGATGCCCTCTGCTTAGAAATTATTTCTCCATTATTCACTTGGCAAACTCCAATGCATTCTTCAAATCACAGCTCTGTGACTTCACACAGGCCTGTCTTCTCTCCTGCATCAACAGCACCTTTGCTTCCACATGCCATTGTGTACTTTTTCTCTTAGCATTACAGGTTTCCCCTGCTAGCTGAAAGTAGAGCATTCCTACAAAATTTTTTGTAAGCCAAAATGGCATAAAGCAATGAGTATCTTCACCTTTCTGAAAGTTTGCATTACATGTGCCATTTCACTTTTATGAAAGACCTGCATTGCTACAGTAACAGCTTTTCTTGTAAAAATGAAAATCCTTGCCGAAACCGGTTTGGCTCAGTTGACAGAGCGTCGGCCTGCGGACTCAAGGGTCCCGGGTTCGATTCCGGTCAAGGGCATGTACCTGGGTCGTGGGCACATCCCTAGTGGGAGATGTGCAGGAGGCAGTTGATCGATGTTTCTCTCTCATCGATGTTTCTAACTCTCTATCTCGCTCCCTTCCTCTCTGTAAAAAATCAATAAAAAAAATATATTAAAAAAAAAAAAAAGAAAATCCTCTTCGGATTCTTTTGATTAGTGAAAAAATGTACTAATGTAGGTCTTATATATAGGCGAAGTGGGATAATACAAACTTTCAGAAAACAGAGATACCTGTATTACAATTTATAATTTTATGGTATTTACTTGATTGCCTATACTTGTCTTCCACACCAGCCTATAGGTTGTTAGGAAAAGGACTGCATTTGTTTTGCTTACCACCCAGCACCTAACAGATAGGAGGTGCTTCCAAAAATGTTTGTCCAATGAATGAATATCTATAAATTTGCTGACAATCAAGTATGTTCCAATTTGCAGTAGGCAAGCCCTACACATAAGCGATGCTTTCAGGGCACTGCATTAAGCCCTCCTCTATTCTTACTATGCACGGTCTACTTAGGTAATCTGTTCCACTCTTAAAAATTCAATCATCGCCGAAACCGGTTTGGCTCTGTAAAAAATCAATAAAATATATTTAAAAAAAAAAAATTCAATCATCATCTCTGTATTGATGAAGCCCACAGTTGTATCTCAGCCCATACCTGTTTTTTGGGCTTCATATCTGTGTCTCTAACTGCTCCCTTGACATCTTTGCTTGGATGTCTCACAGGCACATGCACTCAACATGTCCAAAAGTGAACCTGTCATCTTTTCACACAAAACCTGCTCCCCCTCCACTGCTCTTTACCTCAGTAAATGGCACCAGCACCAGCTGCTTAAGTGAGAAACCTGAAAGTCATCCTTGACTTTTCCTTCTCTCCCAGTTCTTTTATTGAATCATTCACCTAATACCTCCAGAAATTCTGTTTCTTTGTTACTAATGTTGTGGCCCCATAACAAAGAAACAGAATTTCCAGAGGATGAGGCCCAGAAATCAGGATTTTAAAAAGATTCCCAGGTGATTCTAATGTGCAGCCAAGGTTGAGAACCACTGGCCTAGTTCTACCGATTCTACTGAAGTATCTCCAAATCTTTTCCTTCATCCCTACAGTTAGCTTCTTAGTCCAGCTACAATCTCTTTCCTGTTTAACTACAATAGCCTCCCAACAGCTTTCAAAGCACCCAATCTTGCTCCTCCTCCACTCCATTCGCTATTTTGCAACGAGAGGATCTTTGAAAAATGCAAATTTCTTATTCTACTCACCCTGCTAAAATCCCTTCAATGGCATGTTATATGCTTAAAATAAAACCTAAAATCCTTCCCATAGCCTATAATGTCCCACCTGATTGAAACCTGCCCTTCCTTTCCTGCCTCACCCCGCACCATTCTCCCCCTCACTATATGCTTCAGCACATACTGAGCTTCTTTAGGTTTCTTTCTTTCTTTTTAAAGTTTTATTTTATTGTTTAAAGTATTACAAATAGTAGTACATATGTCTCTCCTTTTTTCCCCATTGACCTTCCCCCGGCTTCTTTCAGTTTCTTACATGCACTATGGTTTTCCCAGGATGAGCATCCCCGAGTACTGCTTCCTCTGACTGGAATGCCCCCCTGCCTCCCACTCTCAGCTTCCTTCAGGTCACAGTTTAAATGACACTGGGGCTGAAATTCCTCACTCCTAGGCCAAGTTGGGTCTTCTTGTCATATGCTTCTGCAGGGATCCTGCAATTCCTCGTAATGGCCACCAGATTCATACAACTAGTGCAGTGTCTGTGAGTTCCATAAGAGGGAAAACACATTGTCTCATTTCTATTGTAACCCCTGCATCTGGTACAATTCAAATAGGCACTGAATAAATAGATGAATGCTTGTTGAATGAACAAATAAGTGACTTTCTCTCAAATTTGTTAGCTATTTTTGTTTTATGTTCTTTAAATTATCTGCTATGTCCTTTGTTCTCTTCTCTTTTGGTACTTTAGCTGCTCTTGAACAATTTGCTTGAGCTCTTAAGTAGCATCGACATTAGCTGTCATAATTAGCAAATATCTTCCTCAATCTGTTTTGTTCTTACCTCTGAAGAAGCACCTTTACTGCCTCTAAACAGCCATGCATTGCTGGGAGAAGAGAGTTGAGAATTAGAGTTTTTAGGTGCACATATAAAATGCTTTTTTCCTCTTGGCACTGGTCTCTGTCCCATCTTTTTAGCTATGACTTACAGGAAGGGGCAATTAAAGTAGGTACATTAATAAAAATCTAGCTGGATAATTGGTAAAGAATGATGTTTTTACTGAATAGGTCCATAGCCAAAACTGATTATCTTGTCTTTATGAACACTTTTATGGCAAATTTCCAATCCTAAACTTACCTATCTCCTCCCTTTTGAGTTGAGCCAGGCAGTTTTTGCCTAGGAAATGTAAAAAAATTTTAAGAGTAATCCATGACAAAATAACCAGGAATTTAATTCTACTACTAAAAATAACTATGGTCAATAATAAAGCTTTTTGACTATCTGTGCACCACTACTTTGTGTAAATGACTAGGTACTATTTCTCCAGAAGAGTAGGGGACCTAGTCAAACAATTTGTGAGCAGAGAAACATTTTCTTCACTCTTGCAAAAGGACTCCTTGGTCCTTACGTGCCCACTGTGGCTAGAACAATTGTATGCATATTTCCTAAACTATGTCATGTCACAGGTATTGATTTTTAGAGAAATTAAAAACCCTGTATTCTAATTCAATGAATTCTCTAGAAGGCTAAAGATTATTGTCAAGATTTCTTGATCTGGACTCAAGCTCATTAATATCCATTTCATCTTATACCACAGCAGCTTTGCTTTTTACAAATTTAAAATAATCTATAAATTATAATTCAGAATTAAGACTAATTACTCAAAACAATAAAAATACCCTAAATTTATATTTGACATTATCACTACATAAGTCAAATACACTCAGGTATTTAATTATAAGTACCTATGTTTATTTAAATAGATAGTGCTGTGGTAGATATTGCTGAGGACATTTAAAAACTGTCTCTTGCCCAGCTGGTGTGGCTCAGTGGTTGAGCATCAAACTACGAACCAGGAGGTCACAGTTTGATTCTTGGTCATGGCACATGCCCAGGTTGAGGGCTCAATCCCCAGTAGGAGGCATGCAGGAGGCAGTTGATCAATGATTCTCTCTCATCACTGATGTTTCTATCTCTCTCTCCCTCTCCCTTCTCAGAAATCAATAAAAATATATATTAAAAACAAATAACAATCAAAAACCCTGTCTCTTTTCCTCCTGTCCTTAATAATAAAAAAAATGTGAAAATGATCATAAAAATAGCAACAGCCCGTTCTGTGCTCATGTGTCACACACTGTGCTAAGGGGTTTACCTACATTCGGCTCCTTAAACCCTGTAATAACCGTGCGATATGGGCATCCTTGTTATCATTATCTTGCTGTTGAAACTAGCTCAAGAGACTAAGCTCCTTGCCCAAGGTCAAAGACTTAGTGAGGAAAAAACCAGCATACCATCTAACTAGCTGGGAAGACTAAGACCGATATTTATGAAAAGTGAACTAATACAAGAAAGAAGTGCATGTTAAGTACCAAGTGACATTAGCTTTAGAAACTAAGTATATGCCAAAATATCCAAAAGCTGCTCTTCTTCACCAACCTCTATTTTCCAAATCTCTCCAACTCGGCCATTCTGCAGTGCTGGGGGAGGCAGAGCTCCGGGCCATACCTGCCGTGTGCAGAGGAGTTCTGCTAATTTTGCTCTCTGTCTTCCAGGCATCTGGGCAAACGGTGAGCAAGTACTGGAGGATTGGAGGGTCCCCTTCTCGGCTGGCAATATGGAAACTGTTCCAGCCATCTTTGTTCTTCAGAAGCGGATCTGCACCATGTTCTACAAGGTCCTGGATCACCTCGAGATTCTTCCTTGTGCAAGCCATCATCAGAGGAGTCCTAAGGCCAAAGAGGACAAGCTGTTAGATGGAAGGGTAGCTGAGACATTATAAGGGTACAACCAAGTCTTTAAAAAACACACATCCTTGGTAGAGATGGAAAACCTAGAGGACTCAGGGATTTGGGAAGCAGGAAAACTTTCAACTACTTTGCCTGCCCTGAGGACTCTGGGTGAAATAAGAGGAAAATGATTGTGATGTAGGCATGCCTACAAAAGGGGGATACCAAGGAGGCAAAGCTGCTTCTGAGACAGTTTCTAGTATGGCACTGAATTGGGACAGAATTAGTTCAAATCATAGTTTGTCCTGAAGAATATTGCATAAAAGGTATTCTGCTGAACTTACCCCACTTACTTTAGTCAAAAACCACTTATCCTATCTTATATAATAAAAAGGTAACATGCAAATTGTTCCCTCAACTGGGAGTTCGACCAAAGGCCCCCCCCGCCCCCCGCCCCCGGGCCGATCGCCCCGATTGGGGTGGGCTGGCTGGACCCTACCCACATACAAATTTGTGCACTGGGCCTCTAGTTAATTATATTATGCTGAAAGAGTTTAAAAAGAGCATTTGACATTGTACCTAGCTATAACAAACATACATTGGTGAAGCAAATGAAACAGTGTGATTATAATAAGTCTCTGTACTGACTTGTGTCCACAACTATAGGAGAGTGAACTACATTATATCTATATCAAGAAAGGTGGCTCTCCTGCCACATGAATGATTTGGGGTAAGCCATTTCACTTCCATGAGCTTTTTTGTTGTTGTTGTTGTCTGCAAAACGAAGGAGCTATGATTTCTGAAAAGCAGCAGCAGGTCTTGTGTACCTTCTCATTGCCAGGGTTAGAACCAGTGTCTGGCACATTGTGGGAGCTCACTATAATTGGGTGATCTCTAAATCTCATCTAAGATTTATCTTATAAGATTGCTATATTAGTTAATTACCAACACTACTTTTTTTTGGGGGGGGGTGAGGGGTAATCTATACTAATAAAAGGGTAATATGCTAATTAGAAGGATGGCTTCTGGACGTCCATCTGGACAAAGCCACAGTGGCTGCGAGGCCCGGGGTTCATGGCAGCTGTGGGCTCAGGCAGCTGCGAGGCCAGGGGCTCAAGGTGTGCCGTGCCAGCACAACCAAGGGTTCCGTGAGCCTGAGGGGGGTGGCGAAGGATTAAAGAAAAGACAAGAGAATATAGCTGGGGCTTGGTGGATCTCCCGTGCCTGGGTGAGACCACAGAGAAGGATCCAGCCAGCAAGCCGAGGCTTTTATAGTCAGAGAAAAACAAGGTAGTGGTCACCATAGTTACAATGTTCTTGTGAGTTTCACTTGTTTTGGCAGCACTTGCTGCACCTCCCACAGCCCATTAGCTACCTAGGAAGGATCTAGGGAGCACTATAAGGTTACGCTTAATTATGCTAAGAGGCTCTGCCCTCTGAGCTGGGACTTGTTTGTGGCTCTGCCACAGGTCAATCTGAGGCTTAACTCTAGAGCCACTCCCTACATCAGGGCAACCATGAGCCCTGGTGGCTGCAAGGACCAGGGCTCAGGCCTCGCAGCTGTCATGGCTGGCAGTGGCAGCAGCAGCGGGGTGATGGGGGCGGCGCCTTCCCCTGATCAGCCTGGTCACCTCCCACAGAGGGAGGCCAGACTGTGGCTCCCTATGGGGAGCGGGCCTAGGCCGTCAGTAGGACATCCCCTGAGGGCTCCTGGACTGTGAGATGGGGCAGGCTGGCTGAGGGACGCCCCCACCCCAGTGCACGAATTTTCATGTACTGGGCCTCTAGTGTAGTAACAACAGTGAATGAGAAATTAACAGGAAAACAACCAGATAAATGAAGGCTGGAATTTTCAAGAACCTCATGAAGGGAATGAATCTTGAGCAAGGCAGGATCATTGGAAAAGCAGGTACTTCAGAAAGGAAAAAAAAAAAAGAGGGGAGAGAGAGAGAGAGAATGGGCAAAAATGTCTCACTGTGATTATACACTTCCCAAATACAGAATCAAATGAACCTCATCTTTTTAGCGTTTTGTTTTTGGCTGTTTCCTTATCTGAAGTATTGCTTTGAGGAGTATATGAGGTCTATGCCTCTTGGAACTGTCTTTAGGTCAACTTTCCAGCAGCACAAGAAAAGCAGTCTTGTGCTTAGTCACAGCCAAAGTGCAACCCTCAAAACACAACCAGGCCTACTCCCCTCCCGGTGGGCAAAATGTACTTGACTATACACGGCTGTCTTCTGTGTTTATATAATCATATCAGGAATTACTTGTAGGCAAGAACTTCACTATATTATGAATTTTGCTACATTCATAACCTCTAAGTGAGTACTGAAAACAATGTTGGTCTAACAAAATGCAATTGGTTTGTGTGATGGTAAAGGTGAGTATGTGTGACTGTGGAGGTGGTTATACAAAGCTACACATGGTAAAATCACATACAGAGAGCATCACATACATATTAAGTGTAGGTACAATCTGATGAAATGTGAATAAGTTTATTGACTGTAGCAATGTCAATTTCTTAGTTCTGTTACTGTAGTGTAACCTGTAAGATGTTAACGCTGGGGGAGCCTAGGCACATGGGACTTCCCTGAACATTTCTTTGTAACCTTCTGTGAACCTATAGCTATTTCAAAATTTAAAAAGTTAAATCAATGCCATTGGTGAAGTAATCATTTACCAGATGTCCCCAGAAGAACTTCGTATCCTGGGGCTCATGTTATATGGGGAATTCATTGATATTATTCTACCTGTTTGATCATATTCTGTACTGTTCTCTGCTTTATAAAGGGGAACAACTGTCTGGACCAAACAGTTGACTCCCAAGGTTTGGAACAATGTGCTCTAACGGGGAAGGTTGAGAAGCTATGCTGTAGACTCTATAGTGTAGAGTCAGAAAAAGTACATGGGAATATATGATTCTGGGGAAAAGGGGTTAAGGGGTGTCTTTCTGGAACTCCTGCCACCTACCAGTCAGCCTTCTTCAGGCAGTCGACCACAGCTCCTCGGCCCAGCAGGTACCGCACACAGTCCCGGTGACCCATGGAGGCAGCTTCGTGTAGGGGCCGCTTGTAGTCTCGGTTGGCAGCCTCGATGTCCATGTCCCAGGCCTCGGCCAGATAGGCCAGGATGTCCCGATGCCCGTGGCGGGCGGCGCAGTGCAGCAGGGTGTC